AATAGGGAGCTCAAGGGCGAAAGCCTTCTTCCCTTAATAAAGTGACTTAAGCCTGTTCATGCAAAACTACCGAGTGAATAAAGCAGCACAAGTAGAATTTCGTTGGAAATAATCTTTTAAAATTTTTCGGATACATATGCTTCCATATTGTGTGCAATGTAATCTATAGCTGTTACCGAACAGTCCTAAATTTGTGAATGTATTCCGAAACGGTTTCATGAGGACCGCTAGTTTTTCTTCTGTTTATGCATTGCTTGACTTACGTTGGACTAAGGCAACCAAAGTGTTGCTTGATTTGGCCGATTGGAAGTCACAGGAGTGAAATATTTCGTAAGCTTACGGGCGGACATGCCGGTCAGTGACTAATACATTTCAATGAAATTGTCAGGCGCAATCGTAAAGGTTTCATTTTTTTACACTAGAATTCATTTTGGGATTTCGATTACGAAGAGGTTCAGATCGTTCTTAAAATGATAATAAACAGTTTACTATTTTCACTGGCTTCAGTCGATTGGAAATAAGTGAAGATTATATTCGACTTGCTTATCAAAACACTCTTCAAAGAATCTATCCGTTGCGGTTTAAGTTTTTCTATTAATAAAGTGACTGAAAAGTGACTTATTCTGCTCTATAGAAAGAAAATATAAGGACATCTTCCTACTAAGGCTTAACAGAGAAAATTGGCGTCTTCTCTCGGTTGTTTGTATATATGCTTGTTCACAGCCGTTATTTTGTTGGGGTTAAACGAATTGCAGATTTTTATGTTTATTACTTAATTATACACTTAGAAACGTTGCAAAATAGAATTTTCTAAACACATTTCTCCCTTTTTATCGACGATAATGCGTTATCTCATAATTGCAGTTATCCTCATTTCATGAACGCAAAACAAATTGTCGGTCCTTTGATCACCTAACAGTAAAAAGATTTTACTTTTTATTAGTGCTCTTTTATGGTACAATACGCACAAACAATAAAAAAATTTCTGTACCCTTTTCTAATGTAGGAACTTCCCTGCATACCAATAAACATTGTATTTGGTCCTATTTTTCTCATAGTTGCTGATAAGCAGCATTTCGCGCCTAAAGTCAAATCAATGAACAAAATGAACCACTTTTCACGGAAAGGCATCCTTTGGGAAATAGGTAGTTTATTGCGCAAATTTTCGACACTGGCCCCGGACTGACTCAACTTACAGTTGCCAATTAGTCATTACACCATTGCAACTGATATAATCATGTCCATCACGATGTGACGCAAATTGTAACCCCCATTAACCCACCCACCAGATGACTATATAACTGTATCAGCACTTTGAAATGCTAACTGTTGTTTGTAACTTTCTCTTAGTCTGATGACGAACTGGGGATCCAGTGTCAAAAATTACGCAATAAACTACCTATTTCCCAAAGGATGCCTTTCCATGAAATTAAGACTTTCCATGAAATTACATTTCTTGGGATGCCTGCCTTTCGGTTTATACGAAAAAATGAACCACCTCAGATGGGTGTTAAATCCACTAATCTAATTTGCATCTTCTCAATTTATCAAATATAATGTAGATCCAAGAGTTAAAGCAAGGCAGGAAGAAGGAGACCCTTTGTTCTGGCTCGCCTTTTGTTATGTGAAGAAAGGAATCAGGGCGACTGTAAGAATCCTGAAACTATTCGGGATCGGTGTAGCTCATAAGCCGGAGTCCACCATCAGACAGCAGATCATGAGGTCCAAATACCCGCTATCATTGACAGGATAAGCAGCAGTGGTCTATAGCTTACCATGCCAAGACTGCTGCGCAAGGTATGCTAGTGAAACGGGCAGACGCTATGGCACAACGTTGCATGAGCATCAACTCGCAATCAACCGCAAGGATAAGCTGTATATAGTATATGACCAGGTGCAGCTGAAGAATCACACTTTCGCCTTTGAAAAAGCAAGAGTAGTAGGTCGAGCCAACGACAAGATGGCCAGATTGCTGCCAGAAAGTTGGCCCTCAACTGTCACGCTTATCAGAACTATGTACTTTCATTCCGCCTACCAAGTGCTCCGCAGAAGGCTAACGTCCGCTCAAAAGGGAGCACTAGGTCGGGCAAAGGAAGATACGCAGGGCCGGCAGCCGACACCCACGGGGGAAGAAATTGGCAACGATCAGGAGTCACAAAACGATGCGGCACATTTTCTCATGGAGCGCCCGCGAGGGCGCGAACAATTTAAACAGCCACCAGCTACCGATCGGTACAATCGATCGATACGCGGGCATCAGGCACGGTTATAGAACGAGGTTAGCGGCAAAACAAATCCACTTGATGCCGTCAGAAG